AAAAAAAAAAAAACTGGAAGCATGCTGGACCTTCATAGCAACTATAGACTCTGCTGAGTCTATAGTTCTTCCGTTCTGGAAGCTTCTCTAAGAGCTGAGCAAATTGGTGAGATCAACAGTGCAATCCAACCATGGCCTGAATTCTGCTTCTTACACACCAGGAGCCATTTCTGCACAAGGTGGAGTGAGGATGGATGTTCTTTGACAGAACATGGTCACCTGGGGCGAGAACATTTCATTGGCTCCTTCCCACAGGCCTATGGAGGGGGCCAGCATCACACCCACTTTACAGATTGGAAAACGGAGCCCCGAGATGACTGACAAGTCGCTCGCTCAAGCTCATACAGGAATGCAGTGGAGCTGGGACTCACACTCAGTTCTGGCTGCTTCCAAAGCCTGTGCTTCTCCCCCAGGACTCCATCCCTCCCCCAACCCCTGGCAGGATCTGAGTCTTTGTTCATTACTTCTAGAACAGAGAGCAAGAGCAAAGGCCGCCTCAGAGTTCCGCCTCTAGGGCTGAAAATTAAAACGGCTCAGGAAGTGTTCAGCCTCACTGACTCCTGGCTGCGTCCCTGTCACCTAATTACCTGACTTCAAAGCCTCTGCTTGGCAGGTGTGAGGATGTGAGAGCTGCCTCTTCCCCTCAGAACATGGTGTGACTACACCCGGGTGAGACAGGCCCCAGAGCAGCTGGTGTGTGGGGAATATCAGACAGCCTTCACGTGGACCCGAGGGCCCGGCCTCGAGCCTCTCGGAGTCAGAAAGCCAGGGGTCACCATCCCGAGGGCTCACCTGAGAGCCAGGGTCTAGGGAAGACCAAGATGGGGATGCAGGCCTCCAAACGGTAATGCTGGGTCATTTCTTCCCACCGCCCCTCATGCCTGGGAGCTTATGGCCTCTTAGGGTTGGAACTCATTAATCCTCCCCAACTCCAGGAGGGAAGGGAGCTCAGCCTTACCTCCGTTACTCAGGTGAGACACCCAGGCGGGGCGGGGAGCGGGGGGGAGAGTGAGCGCTCACCACCGCTGCTGTCCCCTCCCACCAAGGGGCAGGGATGCAGGGGGGCCAGAAGGAGCCCAAAGGGGAGTTGCCCGCCTGGGCTGGACAAGGAAAGAGGGATTCCTACATTCTTTTTAAGAATGGTTCCTATGAAGCAGACAGAGCTACTTCCCTGTGTCACTCTGAGATACAGTTAAATGTTATTGACAGTCTTACAGGAATCGGGCCAGAGAGGTATTTCACACACGTTTATGGAAGGAGCGAGGGAGGCCAGGCAGAAAGGCATTTGAGACCTCTGACAGAGGACAGAACTCTGAGCCTGGTGCCATGCTGTGTCCTTGAGTGCTGATTCATTGGATGCTAATCACCACATCAGCCAGGTATGATGGTTATTCCTTTCATGCAGATTAAAAACAAAAAACAATGAGGAACAGAAATGTGAGGCGACTTGCCCAAGGTCACACAGCTAGAACGGACCAGAGCCAGGATTTGAACCCATCTTAGTCTGACTCCAGAGTCCATGTTGGACATCACATTTTTTCTCCTACTTCCCCGCCTTTTGCCGGCCATGAACTGGCATGGGTACGTGTGAGTGGGGGAGCTTTGCGTGGCCGAGCCTTCCTAACCAGAGCTGGAGACCAACATGATGCCACAGAGGGGAGAGGAGTTCGGGGTCAGGGCTGTGTGACCTCAGGCAGGGGGCTTATCCTGGCCGAGACTCAGCTTTCATGCCTGTAAAATGGGGAGAATCAGAATAACTCCCTCGGAGGAGAAAAAAATAAAGGAAGAAAAGACTTTACAAATTCTAACTCAGGAATTGGCAAACCACAGCTGAGGAGCCAAAGCCAGCCCACAGCGTATTTTTGTAAATAAGGTGTTATTGGAATAAATAAATGTGTCACACTCGTTTTTTGGCGTATTATCTCTTCAGCCACGTGGTAGCGCTGAGTAGTTGTAACAGAGACCCTCGGGTCCGCAGAGCCTAAAGTATTTACTATCTGGTCAACTAGACAAAAAGTGTGCCAACCCCTAATCTTAGATGCTACGAATATGCAAATATCACTGGGCCTCAGCAGACAGTGGGCTACATTTCCCACACCATCCATCAGCTCTGGTTCTTACTCCGAATTGCTCCCCTTGGCCCCTTGCCCAGAGGCAGAGGTTCACTTAAGACACGGTTCTGAAACATGGAGCAAGCGATCCTCCCGAGAACCAAGAAACCAAACTTCTGTAAGCTCTTTCAAAGCCCAGCATGGTTCTCATGGACATCAGGCACCAGGAAAACATTTCTGAATGCAGCCACTTACTTGCAATTTTTACACTTGAGGCCAAAAAGCATTCCTTTCCCACAGACGGTGCACGTCTGAGACATCCAGTACTTGGTGGAAAACCTGTGGAAAAGAGACAGAAAACGTTCAAGGGCAAGGTGGTGGTGACAGGGCTATCTCTAGAAGGATGAGCCGCTTACAGGGTAAGCACACAGGCCCTGGATTCTAGTCTTGCTTCTTCCAAGATGTGTGACTTCATCAAGTTGTTCAGACCACTGGAGCCTCAGTCTCCCTATCTGCAGGTTGGGGATGATAACCAACGTCACAGGTTGCTGGGAGGACCCAACAAGCCATGCTCGTCAAGGGCCTCACACTGCCTGGCACATAGTAAGGGCTCACTCAACTGGGTTGTGACTTTATTATTACCTGGACATCCGTGACAGTCCTTCATTAATTCAACAAGTCCTGCCTGGTGGCCGGCTATATGCCAAATTCAGTTCTGGGACAGAGCGATGGATGAGGCTAGAACTGTCCTCAGAGAACCACAAAGCAAGGCGGAGCCTCCCATGAGTCCAGCAGACCCAGCCCCCCCTCACTGCCCATCACATCATCTGGGGAGCTTTGATGGGGGCCTCCCCCTCCCCTCAGAAGAGCTGAGGCCTCAAACTTGAGAAGCAGAGTCCCCAAAGTGAAAGCCCTTGCAGACGGTAAGCTCATCTTCCTCCCCCGTCACCACCGCTTGCTGCAAACGCAAGGCAGTTTGGACAGCTCGGATAGCTAGGAAGCAGGAACCAGCAGGAACAGAGGTGCATTACGTTAACTTCCCCGGGGCTCCCGCTGCTGCTGGGGTGCTTTCTTCCCCCAAGAGATACCATGAGGCAGTGGGGCTGGCCCCAGAAAAGTATTGAAGGTTGCCGGGTCAGAGTTAATTTTCATTTTCAATTTTTGCTACCTTCTGCAGGAGTTGTATCTAATCTCCACTGCCTCCGAGTGTCAAAATGAAAATCAGAAGTGATTATGTAACTTGGTGCTTGAGAATTTTGAGGGCAAGGTTGCATCCTTCTGCTGTACCAACGTGCTTGATTTGGGTCAGTCACCCTCCAAGTGGGACCAGCCGCAGCCCAAAGCCTGCATATTGAAGCAAATAGCAATATTCGGAACAGAGACTCTTGCGACTAAGGAAACTCCCTCTCCAGTTCTGGACTAGGGGGGTGGTTCAGTCTTTTTCTGCCCCTTCCACGGGGCCAGCAAGTTTGGCAAGGCCTACTTTGTGCCATTTGGCAGCTCTTGGGAATGAACAGAATAGGCTCGTGGTTCCCCACCCCCCCTCCAGCCAGTAGTGTGGGGACAGAGGGCAGGCAGCATGTGCCTTGTAGCCTGGAGTTCTCTTTTCCTTTCCAGTCCTCTCCCATCTCTGGGATCAGCTCTCTCTCCTCCTGAGCTCTGGCTGAGGTGACTCTGAGGACAGTGGATGGAATGGGATTTTAATTTCATTTCTTCACCAAGGCTGGGGTGAGTCTAGGTCTCCTCCGCCTGGCATGGAGCCCGGGGAGAAACGTAGCGTGAGACAAAAGAGTAACAGGGCATCCCAAGTCCCGGCTCCTCTAAGAAGACATTCCTGATGCCCAAGATCACCATCCTTCCTTTGGGAATCAGTATTTCAATATGAGGTACCACCAGATCTAACACCAGGTTGCTAGAGCCGCGGGATGAGGCTGAGCCAGAAGGCAAGGTTGAGCTAGGGGCAGGGTCAATCCAGGGGTGAAGCCGACCAGGGGTGTGGCCAATACAGGATGGAGCTAAGCAGGGGTGTAGCCAACCCACGGTGGAGCTGAGCCAGATATGGGGTCAATCCAGAGGTGGAGCTGAGTCAGGAGTATGGCCAATCCAGGGGCGGAGCTGAGCCAGAGGCAGGACAAATTCAAGGGTGGAGCTGAGCTAGGGGTGTGGCCAATCCAGAGGCGGAGTTGAGCCAGGGGTGTGGCCAATTCGGAGGTGGAGCTGCGCCAGGGGTAGGGCCAATCCTGAAGGTGGGACCAATCCAGGGGTGGAGCTGAGCCAGGGGTGTGGCCAATCCAGAGGTGGGACCAATCCAGGGGTGGAGCTGAGCCAGGGGTGTGGCCAATCCAGAGGTGAGACCAATTCAGGGGTGGAGCTGAGCTAGGGGTGTGGCCAACCCAGAGGCGGAGTTGAGCCAGGGGTGTGGCCAATTCGGAGGTGGAGCTGCGCCAGGGGTAGGGCCAATCCTGGAGGCGGGACCAATCCAGGGGTGGAACTGAGCCAGAGGTGTGGCCAATCCAGAGGTGGGACCAATCCAGGGGTGGAGCTGAGCCAGGGGTGTGGCCAATCCAGAGGCGGGACCAATTCAGGGGTGGAACTGAGCCGGGGGCAAGTGGGAAAGCAAACAGAAAAGGCCCTTCTTTTTGATGCTTTACTCCCCGCATCTCTCTGCCTGACCATTGACGCGTGTATCACGTATTTCTCACTGCTTCCTCTACCGTTTCCTCATTTGAGTCTTAACAACTATCGTGTCAACACGTTTCTTTCAACAACTGTTGACGAGGTGCCATTCCAGGAGAGTGTGCTCATTCCCGCCCCAGGGGGGCATGGCCGCCCCCCGCCCCCATGGCGATGTGTCTACCCCTGATACCGCTCCCGCTTGTAGCCCCGCTCGCACATACTGTCGCGGTCTGTTAGCCGTCTAGCCCTCCACCGGACCGCGAGCTCCCCAAGGGCACAGGCCCTAGGTCTTGCGCGGTGCTGCTTCCCAGGCACAGAAATGCCCTACAAATACCAGCGCAGAGAATCCGTGAATGAGTGAACAGGTCCCTCAGCTAGCTCCCAGAGGCCTCCGTACAAAGAATACTCTGAGCAGCAGTGTCCAAAGAACACAGAGTGTGGAGGTCAATTAGCTTGTAGGCCCATCACTTAATCGTGCAGGGCCTCAGTTTCCCTATCTGTCAAAGGGACATGACCACACTTGGGCTACTTACCCCACTGAGCTTGTGAGGAGACTAAGATAATGACATAAAATGTAGAAAGTTAAATCTGGAAAGTTAAAGAACTTCTTATAAGGGATGTTTAGTAGGTCCAAGTCTCCTTCCCGAAAGGACAGGTGTACCCCTGGGGAGCTTATGTCCATGGACCCAACAAGGCTGGAGCTCTGGACTGACCTACACCTCAGCGGAGTTCAGTATGAGTGCAGTATGCAATCCCGTCTTCTGGGTGGAGAGAGCCAAAAATTAGGATGTAAAGCCTTTGTCTTGACAATGATACCGTTTACTGAGTGATTATTATGCGCCCTTTGCTTGGCACTTGACATATATTATCTCATTTGATCCTCATGACACACCTATGGGTAGGCAGAATTATCTGATGAGAAAACTGAGCCTCAGAGAGGTTAAGTAACTTCCTCAAGGTTGCAAAGCTTTACTAGCTAGGATTGGAACACAGGAAAGTTGGAATCCAAAGCCCTGGCTTTTAACCATTATATGCTGATTTTACAAGGGCCAAGGTTAATAAGATGCCACAATGAGGGTTCACTTGGCAGAGGAGAGAGGGGCCTGGTGATACAGGAGCCTGAGCAGAATATCTGCCCAGCCTTTCCCACTCCGGCGGCCAGAGATCCCAGCCTTCACTGTGCTGGGAGGCGGGCACTGATGCCCACGGGAATCCAGCCTACCTGTGCTTGATGGAGTTGCCGAGGTCTCTGCGAGGGATCTGCGGGGACCAGCGCGGCACGGACAGTGTGTCTGCAGGGAGAGAAGAGAGGAGGAGAAGAGCCGGTTACACAGAAAGTCAGAGGACGGGGCGGGCTCCAGCCGAGCCCTGGAAGGAAGAGGGAGCCTCGCTGGCTTCAGTGACCACCACCAGCATTCGCTAAACCAAAGCCAAACGGAACACCGGTTTAACATGTGTTACTTTGACTGAAGCAAGGTCCCCTGGGCAGGGCAGCCAGGGAGTGCCTTGAAAGAAGCCAGCTGTGGAAAGAATAAAAATGAGCACTGCTTCCATTTATGGAGTGCTTACTGTATGCCAGGCATGTGGCAAGTGACTCACATGCTTTAGCTTGTTACATGCTCAAAACGACCGAAAAGAAAGGGGTTGTTAGCATCCCCACCCTACAGACAACACAATTGAGGCTTGGAGCAAGGAAGTCATTGGTACAAGGTCATACACCTTGGGGGCTGCAGAGCAGCTGTGAATCCAGACTTGAGAGACTCTAGAGCACATGCCCTGTGTGCAAAGTTCTAACGCGGTAGATTCCAAATGCCAGGCATGCATGTCTTCAGAGAACCACAAAGCAAGGCGGAGCCTCCCGTGAGTCCAGCAGACCCAGCCCCCCTCACTGCCCATCACATCATCTGGGGTGTGAAAGTGGGGGCCACTTTCCCAGTTTTGTCATGTCCCGTATGGCCCATAAAGTTATTTACTTACTATATTAAGTTAACTCTTTTTATCTGTTTAAATACACTTATTTTAAAAGCACACTCTATATTGAAAACTAATATCACTTTCTGTATATTGTCAGTAATTATTTAAAATATGTCCAACCACATACCATCTAAACTCATGTTAAAATAAGTGGACGGAGGACTGGCTGGGTGGCTCAGTCAGTTAAGTGTCTGAGTCTTGATTTCAGCTCAGGTCATGATCTCAGGGTTGTGAGATCGAGCCCCATGTCAGGCTCCGTGCTGGGCGTGGAGCCTGCTTAAGATTCTCTCTCCCTCTCCCTCTGCCCCACTTCTCTCTAAAATAAATAAATAAATAAATAAGTGGATGGATTGAGTAGCAAATGGAAGAGTGAGTGGATGGATGGATAGATGGATGGGTAAATGGACTGGTAAGTGAGTGGATGGAAGGATGGATGGATGAATGTTTGGATAGGTGGGTGGATGGTCAGATCAGTGGGTAGATGGACAGATGGGTAGGTGGGTGGTTGGGTGAATGGATGGATGGATGGATACATGGATTGGTAGGTGGATGGGTGGATGGGTGGATGGATGGGTGGATGAATATTTGGATAGTTGGGTGGACAAGTGGTTGGATAAGTTGGATGGAAAGATAAATGAGTAGGTAGATGGATAGGTGGGTAGGTAGGTGGTTGGAATGGTAGATGGGCAGATGGATGGATGGATTGATGAATGGAGGGGGTGGATGAATTGGTAGGTGGGTAGATGTATGTACAGATGGATAGATAGATAGATTGATGGATGAATGGGAATGAGGAAGAAACAATAAATCACACAGACTTAAGACTGGGTGCCTGTCCCCATCTGGTCTTTCCTCTCATGCCTTAAGCTAAATCCCAGGGACCTCTGCTATCACTCCACCTCTGTCTGAGTTCTGGGACTTCTCCCGCAGATGCTGAGCACCAGCCGCCACCTTCACTCCACCACCTCGAGGGCCCCAAGGAGGTGTGAAACAACAGCAGAAGTGAAGCCGCGCTGCGTGTGAGATCTCCACCAGCGAGGGAGACAGGAAGCCAGTGGCCAACCCACACACCAGCTCTCCTTTCTCAGGCCAGATAGATGGAGCCAGCTCCCTGTTTTCAGAGCTACAAACACACACCTACCCCATTTTTCACAGCCATTGTTCCGGAGTGGTGTGTTCACTGGGAGCTGAACTGATCAGGGAGCATTTAAACCCCAACCCATTCTTCTCTCTTCTGTCTAATGACACTGTTAACAGCCATCTGAAAGCTGTTTCCAGAACCCCAATTCTGCCCTTGTAAAGGTGGGACCCTTTCTGGGAGAGCTAGTGATTTTCCAGGCCCGAAGGGCAGAGAAAAGCCACGCAAGAAACAGCATGATATATCAATTAGCATCATAGCTGGTGGAATTTCCTCCAGTTTAACTAAAAGCTAAATGTCACCCAATCCAAGCCATTTTGCCACTCGTTTCAGTTTCCAAGGGAAACAAAAAAGACAAAGAAAAAACTATTTTAAAAAAGAGCGAAAGAGAGCATTCTTTCCATTCCCAGCTCCTTTGGGGACTTAAGTCTGATTTAGGACGACGGATGCTACTTGTGAACTCCTTAAAATGCTTTCTCCAGCGCCAGGGCAGGTGCAGATGGGACAGCTGGGCTGGAGAGAAAGCGTTAGTTAGCTCAGATACACAGCCTCCTCGTGGGGAATCTACAAAACTAGGAGTGCCAAATGGGCTTTATCTCATGGGACATTCGTAGTAGCTGTCTAGAAAAGCGTGTTGAGAAAGATTCTGAAGCCCAATAGGAAAGAACACCGAGACTGATCAGCAATGCCCTCCATGAGTGAAGAATAAGGTAGAACCAACAAGTCTGTGTATATGTGCCCCTCCTACAAGGACCGGGACCCCAGCCTCATCTTTGCATCACCAAGAGCAAAGTAAGTTTTCCTATATGTGTGCTGAGTCCAAGCAGATTATGATGGAAGCACTGAGTTAATTGATCGCTCACTATGTGTTAGGCATTAGGCTGTGCAGTGTAGACGTGGAAATTATGTCTCTGTGCAGTCAGTGTTCTCATTATTCCCTACAAGACACAGGGGCTCAGAGAAATGCAGGAATATGCGAGAGGTCACACAGCTAGGCACCAGCAGAACCTCATGGAGTAATTCTGCCATTGGTCATAAGTCCTGCAAAAGCCCTTTCACCAGTATTCTCAACCAAAGTGACTTTTGCCTCCCAGGGGACACTGGGCAATATCTGGAGATAATTCTGGTTGTCATAGTGGGGTTGGGAAGTGTTATTGGCACCGGGTGGGTAGAGGCCAAGGATTCGGCTCAACATCCTACAACGCGCAGGCCAGCACCAACATCAAAGAATTAACCAGCCCCAAATGTCGAAAGTGCCAAGGCTGAGAAGCCCTGATCTAGATATTTTCTACTCCCCTAGCCACCTCACATCCCCCCCGCACCAACCCCAAGCAATCAAGATGGTACTTGTGAGGCTCAAGTCAGCAGAGAACAAATCCTCTTTTATTATAAGCACATCTCACTTTTAGATTCATATCCCAGTTATGCTGTTATTCTCAATTACAGCACCTTCTCAAGAAGTAGAAGTCATTAAGTTTAGTTCTTTGGTTTCATTTCCTGATATCTGGTTGAAGGGGTGAAGTCTGTCAATTACATAGCGGTCACAACGTCATTAGTCTCATGCAATAATAACCAGCACATGGCTTCGAACATGGGTGTGCAGATCTGAACTTTGAGATCCTCTCTTTACTTTCTTCCTGTGGATTTCATTAAACTTGCCAACTCGAGCCTAAAAGCGAAGGAAAACTGTTTAAAGGGAAGGGGGGGGGTGGAAATCTATGAAAATCCAGGCCTTATCATAACAGAGAAGGCAAACAGCATTTACAGCAATTAAACTGATACAGAAACTTCTGTTTAACAATCAAAGCGCCTATTAAGATGTCTCCAGAGCTGAACAAAAGCTTCTTTTCTACTCTAATTTTCTGATAACAAGTCATGCAGACATGGAGACAGAATTGTGCGTGTCCCTGGTGCCTTCAGTCCCAGGAGTAGAATAATAGAAATCTCTTCTCAGATGTTTTCATTTCCAGTGCACAGAAAGGGGGTGTTGGAGGGAAGGAGGATTCTTCTCCCCTCCCGTAGGTCCCTGTCTATGCCCTCTCAGCCGTTCCTCCGTACAGAAAGGGGATAAACCAGGAGCCTCGGTCTTCAAAATCCCCTCGGGAGCCAGACGGACAGACAGAAGCCCCGACAGAAGGAACTGGCGTTAATAAAGCTTTCGCATTATGTACAGCTTTGAAAAGAGAAGCTCGGGCTCTGACCTGGCGGGCAGGAACTCAGGCCAACAGAAGAGTCAGGTGTGCAGAAAATATTTAAAAACATTTAACACAGAGACACCAGGTAAAAACGGGACGATAAAGCAAAGGAAGAGGAGGAGAAAAAGTAAGAGAAAAAAAAGATGCTGAAGATGAAGACAAAGAAGAAAAGAAATGAGAAAAATAATAATAGATATGCTTTTTGTTGAGCAATATGGTGTGCCAAGCACTATTACCAAATAAACCCTTTCTGTACATTACCTCATATAATCCATCCACTGCAGCCTATGATGCATGGAACATAGCAGCTGTTAGGATTAGCCCCATCTCACCAACAAGTAAATCAGGAAGTTACACCATTTCCCCAAGGTCACACAGCAAATAAAGGCCAGGACTGGGGTTTTTAATTCAGGTCACAGAGCTTGGGTTCAATAAATGATGGCCACTTTCATCCCCATTTCATAGACGGGAACACTGAGGCTTAGAAGCAATATGCGATCGTCCATAGCTAGTGACTGAGTTGGGATTTGAACCACAGAGAAGAACAAACTGGATGCTTCTTCTGGAGCATCCGGACGGCTCTCCAGATACATGGAGTTCAACCCATCCTAGAGTGTCCCTGCCCCCCTACCTCTGTCTAGGAAGAGCAAAGGAACACTGACCCTTATACGCTCAGAGAAGAGCTGCCAGAGGCCTGGCAGGTGGTGTCCTAGTATGCTGTTCATTTTAGCTGTCACCCCTGCAGTTAGCCAGCAATATTTTCACTCGTGAAATCATGCCCACACCCCTCCCCCAAGATGTCCTAATCCCTGGAACATGTAAGTAAGTCGCCTAACAGGCAGAAGAGATTCTGCAGATGTGATTAAATTAAGGATTACCCAAGCGGGCCCGATGTAATCATGAGTCCTTATGTGGGCAAGAGGGAGGCAGGAGGGTCTGAGTTAGTGGAGGAGATGTGACAGTCGCTGGCTGTGAGGATGGAAAGGGCCAACAG